CAGAATACTGCCCTTGTCACACTAATACTTAGTTTGATAGTCTCTCTGTAGGCGGGAAGCTCTGGATCACAATCGACATTAAAACTAAAAAATGTCGTAGTTCGCATGTGCACCGCGGAAGGAAGCATTCTTGGTAGTAAGCTAATCAAGGGTAAAGTCGGAGCGAAAGTTTGGGTTAACCTTCTCAGCGTACTTGATGACTTCTTGGACGGTCCCCGTGACGTTGACGACTGGCCCTCCAGGAGAAGTCTGGATCTCCCAGGTGATATCCCCGATGCTATAGCCGTCAATCTTTGAAGCAGCTGGGAATGCCGCGATAGGAAGAGCCTATCATCGTAGAGGTAAGTGAATTGTTCCTTAAAACCAAAACCATTCGGGGTTTAGCACAAACCTGGAAGAGAGAGATGAGGAAAACAGCTCCGGATGTGATGACGGAGGAGATCATAGTGACGAGTGAGAAGGGCAACGGAGATGATCGTCGATGAAAGCATGATGTTGTGGCTGTCTGGCGATGTCGAAGTGACGGTACTGCCAGGATTGATGAGTTCCGTGTTTGTGCAGAAGGCGATGCGGAGAAGGAAAGCACCTACCTTGACCTCTTGAAAACGCGAGCTGTTCCTTCCATTGTATCTCAGAAGCGAAATTCATTTTATCTTGAGATTTTCCCTTCGCAACACAGGCAGGTGGGATACTTCGAACTACGCGACAAGGAACGGAGATCGCTGCATCAAGACGAATGACATTCTGTCCTCCAATGTTCAATATTTTACCGCATTGTGTTTGGTGCAGAAAATAGAGCTGTTGAAGGCAAACATACTGCCTCGCATGTAAAAACCCAGCGTTGGACGTTAGTGGGTGCCGATGCGCTTTGGTACAAACTGACAAAATAAACGGAATGCCGACCCTAGATCCTGATTGCGAACCGTTCTTTCCCGGTTACGAACTTCTTGTTCAAGTCCTTATTGCCCTTCCGAGTCCCTCCTTTCCCCCCCTTTTCTGTGCCCTCGCCCAGTGGAAGGGATATACAATCCTTCTGCTAGACAGGAAATGGAACAGACTATGAAATGACGTCCATCGTGTTATTCCCTCACCTCAAGCACTTCGTTCCGTGGATCTCTTTACAAAGTTCCAACATGGATGCGACGATGTGTACCTCTAACATACATCGTCGCCTTTAACAGTGATACTCCAATCACCTTCGATACCTCTAGTGGCTCGACCATTGACCTCCCCGCTAGAGTTCTGGCAACCCAAAAGCACATGAGCGGTTCCATAAAGTTGACTGTACTCCGCTGTCACAGAGATGTCGTTTCTCTAACGTAGTAAGCAGGAAAAATAGTCGCCAGTCATGTCTTATACATCTACACATCAAATGGGATGGAAGCAAAGGCTAGCTCAGGTAGGCTTTGACCACTCACCTCGTTGCACCACCAGACAACGGTCTTTTCTTTGCAGCCAAATTGTGTACACACCCCTGGGCCTAGAGTCGCTTCGTTCTCTCTTGGTTGATTGTGTAAATCTTCAATAACTTCTTCGAAAGTCCCCAGATTGGCGGACTTTGTATTCACCCTAAAGCATTCAACCAGGTAGACAAGGTCATAAAAACCCTTGACGAAACCTCCAAGGCTTGGAGTAGATTTCAAGTCGATAGGTGTGTCGTCGCCGAGACCAAAGTCAGAGCGAAAGTCCGGATTCTGTTTCTCTGCGAACTGGATGACCTGCTCAATAGTACCCGTGACGTTCACGGTCGGTCCTCCGGGAGTGGTCTGGATTTCCCAGGTCATAGCTTCAACACGGTATCCGGGGATGGGGCTTTTGGCAAGAGCAGTGGTCGGGACGGCGGCGACCGGGAGGGCTTGGAGCATTGTCGCGGCCAAGATGGCACCGTAGATGATGAATGAGTTGAACATCTTGGTAGAGATTGGCTGGTTTGGGTGTTGAGAAGAAAAGCGCAAGATCTGGATTTGAGATTGGCAGTATGCTGGTGACCACAGTTTGGTATTGGGAGCCCGTGTGTTGAAGTGCTGATGGAGAAGAGAATGTTATTCAAGTGCGTTGGACACTCGTAGATTTATACCTCTGCGTGTCTCAAGCTTGACAGTTTGGCACAGGAACATGTTGTTTCCTCTCCCATGTTTGGGTTTCTGTCAGCTTGCTGCCTTGTTTGACTGTTACGGGTTGGTCAAGGAGGCGGAATTCGGGTATTCAGGTAGAGTATTTCAACTCGGATTCTCCGGTGGCCAAGGGAGGTGTAAATACCGAGAACAGCCCTACGTCACTTGGATCCAAATCCACATTGCGAACGGGGATGCCAACGGGAACATGGCATTAACTGCGCATGTGATTGTTGACCAAACATAACACCTCTAGAACTTAAGAAAAGAAAAGGACAAATACCTAAGGATGAAGGAGAGATGGAAAAGACCGAAGAAAGGAACCTGGAGTCCCAAAAAAAATATAAAAAAAATAAATATAAAAAAAAACCCGTGAAAGAAAAAACGGAAGTAAAAAGAGGAGAGAAACTGAAAAAGCAGGAAGAGGAAAAGAAGGAAAGGGATTGCTCAATATTGTTGCTAGAGTCCAGTCCTAGGTACACTAGGAGCTACCCTTCATGATAAAACTTCAGACTCTGTAGTCAAGAAAGTCCGGCATGCACCTTATTCATCTGCATGCCTTTTCGTTGCAGAAAGATACATTATAGCTGGCACCCTTTGACGTCCGCAGCGCTATTGATGTAAGCTTCCTGCAGCAGTTTGCAAGTGGCGACACTGCACATGTACTGCAGACCGTGAAAAAAAAACACGTGGCTTGATTTCCCTTTGCCAGTTCTCGAAACATCAACAAGAGTCGTATGGGCTCTATGATTGTGGGCAGCATGGAAAATTTGTGTAGATGTATTGCGGAATCCAAGGTGCCCCTTACCCTCCTTGTTACCTCTATTCAACAATAGATGTTCTAACTAGCACTCCGTCCACTAGAGGTAGTATTTATATTCTCTGTCCTCCATCTATCCGCGTCTGCAGAAAGATTGACCAACCAGATCCCTGGGCACCCGTACCTAACTCGTACTAAAACCTCACTTTCTCCATCCGATACTATTCGGGATGTACGCCCATCTAAGGTTCTTTTTCGCAATCAACTCCTGTGACAAGAACCCTCCAACCATCCGGCATAGAAACGGAGCCTTGAACCCACCCGCGACGATCATGTCCCATGTCGTTTGACGGGTCATCAAATACAACGGGACAACTATCAAGAATGTATTGAGCGCCATCAGCAATGTAGCCGAGTGTGCCAAGTGTCTTTGGCTCGGGGTTCTAAAGTGCAAGTGGAAAGGCCCACACGTTAGTACATCCAGGTCCATGAGGTTGTTATGTAGAGGTAGTTCGGCTGTTCAGGAGGAGCCATATTGTTAATTCGATCACGTACGTCATTGCACCACCAAATAGATGAATCCGCTGAACAGCTGACCCGCCCGCAGTTGCTTGGTCCTGGGCCGTTGACTGGTTGGCCTTTGACTCCACGGAGGTGTCCAATGCCAATCCCGATAGCCCATCTATGAGCGTAGTACCGGTCTGCTTCACCGCAACTATATGTAGCAGCGGAGAATATGTTGGAGGTAGAAGCGTCGTTAACCTGCTCAAGAAGAACGATCTTCTTTTTTTCAACGTATCGTATAGCCTGCTTAATAGTCCCCGTGATATTGACGGTGCCCGAATCAGTCTGGAACTCCCAGGTGATGTCTTCGATACCCTAACCGGGGATGGGGCCTTCAAGGCTTGGAGCAGCTCTACTTGCGATCTTGGGCATCGCGCTAACAGGAAGGACCTATGATCATCAGCAAGTAACTCAAGATGAGGGAAGTGACTCTTAAGAGCCTGGCTCTTACCTGGAGCATGGCCAAAGTGGCACCCAAGGTCGAGTAGAGCATGGTGACTTTGGAGCTGGCGGAAAGAAGGTCAATTATGAGTGGATACAACTGTTTGGTGAAGAAGCCGATGATGATGGGAAGAAAAACCTGCTAACCTCCTCGAATACGGGGAAGGGTCGTTTATTTATACGTCTGTTCTAGCATAACCACGCTTGAGAGGCAGGTACGGTACCTGAGGGACCCGTCTCAAATAGATTGACTAATTCGGGATCTTTTCAGCAAACGGCTTCATACCTAAACGGAGTGGCCGGCCTGATATTTCCGTTATAGATCCCAGCTTGGTATAAAAATACAAATTGATGCCACACGTCACACAGCCCAAGCTGCCCTTGCGAGCGGATGAGCCCAGGACAGTCGTGTGATGGGCCTATCACCGCTTCCCAAGCCACGGTCACCACGGCCACCATCGCTCCTAACCAAATGTATAAAAATCCATCACTTGACTTCGTTCAAAGGTAATGACGTCGTTACACAGTCTCTACACCATGATCAAGCTGCCCTTCCCTACTAGTTCTATACCCTCATGGACCAGGGCAAGAGCCATCATAAGGCTCCCGAACGAGGACACTCCAACCGTCATTCATGACAGCGCGACCCATGGTCCAAAAGAAACCAAGTTCAACATCAAAAACACTGGGACAGCCGTCAAGGACAGCTTGAGCGCCATCAGCAATGCTGCTATAGCTCTCGAGTTCCTTTGTCTCTGCGTTCTAAAATGCAAAATTGGTAGAAAACCCACGAGTTAGTAAGTCCAAGTCTAACAGCGGTATTTCTTTTTGGCTCACATAGCAAAACAGTAAGTAGGTAGGAAGTGCCATGATTGTACCAAAGAACAAGACGGGACATACATCGTTGCACCAGTATATGGCGGATTCGCCCCAGCAGCTGACGCGCCCGCAATTCCCCGGTCCGGGACCGTTGGCCGGCTTGCCCGGGACGCCGCGGAGGTACTTGATGCCTATCTTGATGTAGGGTACCTTGGCCTCAACCTTCGCGTCGTCAATACTGTTCAGGCATTGCACCTCACGAAGATCAATTTGCCGAGCTTCGGGGCGCATGCTTGGTGATGAAGCATCGACACTTTTGTTGAGTGTAATGTTGTTTTCCAAAACGTATTGCATCACCTGCTGAACAGTGCCCGTGATGTTGACGGCGGTGCCGGGGCCAGTCGAGATCTCCCAGGTGATGTCTTCGATACCGTAACCAGCGACGGGTTTGGGGCCATTAGGGCTGGAACTCCTGAGAGCACTCTTGTCTGCAACATGAATGGTAGGGATTGCGCCAACAATAGGGACCTATAGGTAGATCGAAACATATAAGGTAAGTTAAGATTCATCTGGAAGGAAGTGACTGTGATATTCTGGCTCTCACCTGCAACAGAGCGAGAACGGCGGCAGATACGAAGGTCGAGTAGAGCATTATTAGCAAAATACGGTTCCTTCAGCGGCGGAGGTTGGGAAGTGTATTATCATGAGTATCAGAGTTCGGGCCTGCGTTAGTCCGTTGTTGCTCTGTATGATACGGGAGAAGTTGATGAAGATAAAAGCGGGAAACTGAGTGAGGTATCCTCCTTGAAGAAGAGAACTGTTCATACATTTATATGTCCGGTAATTTTAGACGCATCATGCGGTCGAAGTCCGCCTTCTCTCAGTGTTTCATCAAGGACGCCCGAATAAATGCACCGCACAAATGTACTAAATCACGTATCGTGAGATGTCTTCAGTAGGCGTAGGTTCTGTGGTCGTAACCTACAAACAAGCAAACTGTTCTCGAAAGTACGTTTCTGTGTCAATAAATGCGTTGGTGGCGTAAGCTTGGCATCAAAACGCGAAATAGTGTTGCAAAACGACAAAACCGAGTGGCAAATCAAATAGTAAACTCACACAAAGTTCTAGTAACGAGTTTGGTTTGCGGGATCAATTGTAGAAACCTCGAACAACACGCCCCATAGCCACTTCCAAAACCACCGCCTCCATCGCTTCTGACGAAGACACTACCTTACACATCACTTGACTTCGGAATCCATAGGCAGTAACGTCTTCAAAAGTCTTACATCACAGCCGCGCGCCCAGTTCAACAATCCTCCCCTAATTGAAGGTTTTGCCGTATTGCGCTTGCGCACTATATACTGTAAATAATTTCAAGGTATATAGTCTTATTGTTAGGAGATCCAAAGAAGCGAGTAGTGATGGTAATCTAAACAAGGTCGGAAGGCTGCATATGGATGAAGTACTTGTGGGAGCCGCCGGGCCGGTACCGAATGGAGATCCGGACGAACCGAGACGGAGAGTTGAGATAAAGCTTGGTGTTCCTTTAATTCCAACTTTGAACCAACCTCTGTTCCTCCAAACATTTCCAGAGACGGTCGAGAAAAGGTCATTAACAGAAGAATAATTTTGGTTCTAACATTCATGTTGTAGGCTACATAAGCAGCATGAACTTTGAAGGTAGAAGGTAGATGTATTCTGCACACAGCCCATTGTCCCTTGTCCTTAGCAATTATGGCATCTCTACCTACCGCAACGCTCCAACCGTCCCGCATAGAATGGGAGCCCTGAAGGCCCTCGGGCTCCCACAGATTCTCTATATATCCGTCGTCCATAGGATAATGCGGGCAATTATCGAAAATGACTTGAGCGCCATCGGCAATGTAGCTAAAGCTGTCGAGTTCCTTTGGCTCGCGGTTCTAAACGGAAAAGTAGTAAGACCCAGGCGTTAGTAAGTTCGCGATCTTATAGTTCTGATGGTCAGGCTAAGGCATGGTGCCCGAGTACATACCTCGTTGCACCACCAAATAGCCGCCCTATATGAACAGATAACCCGCCCGCAATTACCTGGGCGGGCCGTTCAATGGCTTGCTTGTAACTTTCCGGAGGTGCAAAATCCCCCACTTGATGGCGTCTTTCCGAGCCAAATTCTCTTGTAGGCCCCCGTCCTTAGTATTACAAGCAAGGCTGGAATCCTCATCGTCCCGATGACTACCGGAGAATACGTTAGAGGAAGAAAGATTATTATTCTGTTTAAGAACGATCTTGTTCTTCTCAGCGTATTGCATCATCTGTTGAATATTCCCGGTGACGTTGAAGGTGGTGCCGGAATCAGTCTGGAGTTCCCAGGTGATATCCTCGATACCGTAGCCAGGCATGGGACCTTTGTGGCCCGGAGCAGCCCTGCCTGCGATCTTCGGCATTGATTGGGCAGGGAGGACCTGTAAACACGTAGTAGGGTAGGTTAGAACTCGTATCGACCAACGGAAAGAAGTCATCAGGAGAATGGGTCTGGCTCTTACCTACAGCATGGCCAGAGCCGTACCGGAAACAAAGGTCGAGTAGAGCATTATGGCTTTGGGTGGAAAGTGTTGAAGTTCAGGCTGGGGTTATCTGTGTGGTTGGTCTGTAAGAAGGTAATGCTGGTGAGAAGTTGATGGAGATAGAAGGGGAACACACTTCGAAGACGAGAACTTGGTCGTTCCTTTATATGTCTTTTTTTTTTTTTTTTTTTTCTTTTTTTTTTTTTTTTTTTTTTGCTGCTCCTATTTTGTTGTCATTCCCTTTTTTTTTTTTTTTTTTTTTTGAGATTCAGCGTCTGATCAAAATCTGACTTCTGCCTCCACTGTCATCGTGGATCAACGGGTAAGTGCAAGCCTGAAACACGTATCCCAAAAAAAGGGAACGGACCAGGCGAGTGTCTATGCAGCGTAAAGTGATACCTAGTGACTCGTTTCCAACAGATTTCACGTTGAGAGTCGTAACCTTCCTCTAACAGGCAAACTGCTTCGGTATGTGCGTTCCCCTGCTAGTATATGCGTTAGCAATGTGAACGTGGTATAAAAATAGGGAATAATCGAGTTGGTGACCGGTGAATCTACCAAGTGGGCGACGAGTATGGTGCTGCTTTTGGGACCTCGTACAAGGACGTTGAACGGGACGTCCCATCACCGCTTTCCAAACAACTATTACTATCAATACCGCTCTTGACCAAGGCATTAAACATCCGTTGGCCAGAGGGGTCCAACACAGTGGCGTCGTCAAATGATCATAACGAAACGCACAATTCAGCCGTCCTCCCTTTCCCGTATCACCCTATCGTGCTTGCCGGGCGGAGCGGGCAAGCAACATCTACCCATGTCCAACGCCGGCCCGATATTATTACACTTCGCAACGACGTTGTGATCCCAGTTCAATAGGTCATTCAACAACACCTAACCGTGTAATGGAGATATTGCTAGAGCCTCCACGGCTATAGGGACGGACATTCAGAAAAACTTTGCGCGGTATCCTGGCTATCGTCAGACACTTAATCTGAAATAGTTAGCAGGTGTCCGTGTGAATAGCATATGTAGGTAGGAAGGGAGAAAACACGCGAGAAGAACGTTGGACGATAATCCTACCTACGTAGCGAAACGAAAGGTAGGCATACAAGTAGTCCCACCCATCTCGACAGTCCACATCATGATGTCTCACAATACCACTCAAAGGGACTGGCATGGCAGGTGGAAAGCCTTTAATACCCGCGGACAGGGTGAAAATAGAATGATCAGGGATATATCGCCAGTGACCTTTCGGCCATAGCTACCGTACCTCTGTCATGTCGACATCGACGGGCAAGCCCAAACTCCTTGTCCTTGAGCTTTATACTGTAGGCAAGTCTCTCGCTTTACACCACCCAGACAATCCGACATGCTGCGCGCCCTTTAACACTTGTCCTTCCTGATAATTACATTCCAGTGATCCGTCATAAAGATTTGGCCTCTGACCTGCAACGTATACCAGAGTCCACCACCGCCACAACTGCCGACGAGGGACTCGGCAGCCCATGCGATGGAACCGAAAGAGTCAAGTATCTTGGTATAGGTGCTCTGGAGGCAGAAAGGTATTAGTTATATTCCGCTAAACCGCAACAAATGGGAAGATCTTTAACATACATCGTTGCACCAGTAAATGGCTGAGTTGTATGAACAGCTGACCCGAGCACAGTTTCCTGGGCCTGGGCCGCCCTTTGGCTGGCCAGGGACGCCCCTCAGGTACTTAATCCCCTCGAGGATGGTTTGCCCAGTAGCATAGTCACCGCCCCAATCGCAATGAATCGACTCGATGGAGTATCCGCGAGACGCGACGGGTGCAGCGAGGGAAGTGCTGTTGTCAGAGTCGCCAAGGCCGAAATCAGAGACAAAGCTCGGGTTGATTTTCTCCAGTTCCTCGTAGACGTTCTGGACGGTGCCAGCGACATCGACGGTAGGACCTCCGGGAGTGGTTTCAACCTCCCAAACGAGCACCTCGATGCCGTAGCCAGGAATGGGCGAAGCATCCATGTTGGAAATGGTTGGCATGGCGACAGCAGGGAGAACCTGTAGTGAGAAGTGTCAGTAAGAGATGTGGCAAAGTGTCTCAAGGTTTGAACATACCTGTAGCATGGCCAAGATGGCTCCAGAACTGATGACGGAGGCGAGCATGATGATGGTGATTTTTGACTCAAATTCCCCGGTTTGTGATGTCCGTGAAGTTGTTGAAGATGATCAGAACATCTCAACGTTGAACTTGTCGTCCCTTTTATACTCCGAAAAGAGGGTCATCGGCGAAGGGTTTCTTACTCTGCCCACTTTGTTGACTCCTCGGTTGCCGTATCCAGACCAGCACCAGACGGTGTCCTAGGTGGGCCGTTGTTGCTTTTGTGCATGGTAGGACAAATAGTTCTGGCTTCGGCGTGCAAACAGCATCCTCGAGCAAGACGCTGGAAAAAGGGAATGCTCGACAATGCGACGTTCAGTGTGATGGCGAAGTTCAGATGAGGAGGTGATGCTGAACCGAGTTGCAAGCGCGACAGTACTCACAGTGTAGATGGAATCCACGACTCATTATGCCTGTCATCCAGCGGCTAAGTGTCTGATGGATTCACTTGTTGTCCTAGAATGGTTAGAGTTTGGGAGCCGCATGCGAAAAAGCAAGCCTCGACTTGGAATGGCCGGGCTCAACTGTTCAAGGGACGGATACAAGGCACATCTCTTGGGCAATCTCGCACGGGCTGATGGGCAAGATATCGTGGGGTGAGTCAGATGAGATCCGGTTGTCGCTCTAAATCCCATGCATTGGAGACAAACAATTCATTCGAAGCAAAGGCAGTGAGTGATGCTGGGACAAGAGACCCCATGTGAAAGCCAACTGGCATATCGAAGGAAAGGATGCCTTCAATCGCCATCACCATTGTTTTGAACCATCAAGAGTCTCGGCTGTTTCTCGGAATATCGACGGGAGACTTCCAAGACCGACTTTCGGTGATTCTCTCGGCTGAGAAAGAATGTACTTGGAAGGTAGTCGGGGATCGTGTAACGAAAAGGAGGATGGGCCTTTAACAGCGCCAGGGCAAATCCAGGCGGGCAGACGGTAGCGCCATAACAGGTCCACTTGGGAACGTGGGTCAGGGCGTCTCCATGTTGATGGGTGGAAATGCACATTGCCTTCACCTCGGCAGAACGAAAGAAGAGACTTGAGCAGGACAAACAAGAGGATCGTAAGAGCGTGATTGGCACACTTTCGTTGCAAGAATCCAGGCTTGTCGGCTCAGTTGATGTTTTGTGAAGAATGGGAGGAAGGAGGACATGGCAGTCAGTTGGAGAATCGAGAGGTTGGGACCGATGGCCGTGCCAGGCATGCTAGGGGTGTGGAGACATGTACAACAAATACTTATGTATGAATCTGCTGTCAATGGTCGGTTGGCGGGTCTCTGACGGTTTGACCACAAGGTAAGGTGCAAAGTTGAAGCATTTCATGAAGGAAATTTTCAGTGCGCGCTGCAGTTGCTTCCTTCCTTTTCTTCTTCAAAGAGACTGAGCATGGTGACGCAATTTCCACGGCCCCGATTTCGGTTGATGTGGACGGGCAGAACGTTCAAGTTCGTTTGCCACCCTGCAAAGCTTCAAAATGAAGGCACACACACCCTTTCCTACCTCCACCGAATTCGCTACCCTTGAATCTTCCTCCAACACCGTGATTGCCGCCAACATCCAGTCCCAACGACGAATCGACGTCGAGAACCGAAGTCATGGCTTTTCACTTTGGAGTCAAAGAACTGGGCAAACTGACTTCAGCCTCAATGTTCTTTCCCAATGACAGGCCAGAACCAGCAGTCTCACACCAGTCTCGCTGATTCGACAATGGTTCAACCCACCCTCAACCTCGAGAAATATTAAACAAGCGCATTGACGAACACAAGGCCAATATTCTTGGGATTCTATGGCCTCCTGGACCAGGTTGCCGCATACCCGCAACACAAGACAAATACCTTACGTATCTGCATTCGCTTCTGCTTCGAGCCTTGGACTTGCCAGCATTCGAGACATTTGATCTTCAGAGCTTGCTATCTTCGTCGTATGAACCTTGTCTAACTAGTATCACAGAGTATCCACGCGACAGCAAAGTCAAAGGCGGCCAACGATGGAAACATTCCAGAGCAAAACATCTCCCCGGTCCTGTCTTCTGTGTTTGGAGTCGTAGCCATACGCATGCTCCGCCCTTGACCAAGAAGAAACTTCAATGTGAAGTCGAATTGGAGGCTGGGAAGTTGGGAAGTATTCTACGAATCCCACCGAATCCAGACTCGCCCACCCTCGACGAGACGGCCAATCCGCGAAGGCCAAAAGTGCGGGGAGAGATTCCAGAGCGCGGCTTTTCCATTTTAGAACCTTTTATTCTCCACACCACTTTCGAGTCGTCAAAAGCCGTAAGAACAACGGGCTCACGACCAGACGGCTTGCGACGGACCTAAGGTGAAGTGACAGCGGCATGTCGGTACAGCTAGCACAGTGAGAAAGCACCAGAAGCCAGCAGGAGCAAAAGACGCGTCGGGGAAATAACAGAGTCTAGCCAGAACCAGAGTCATGGGATTTTCGATAACACCTCGATGAAGGAAAATTGCATGACCCATGGCCTTGGTGAACGTGGGGACATGGGGCATCAATGGCCGAGCCACAGGAATCCCTCACCCGCCTCTGGGGGGCGACAAAGTTGTCGCCCACAAGTTGATCACCGATTTAATAACCCATGTGTCAGTCTCGAAAGAGAAGCGAGAGTAGGGCAAGGTCGAAGTCGCCGTCCGTCCGTGACCCAATGGTCGACGTATGTATCTATAACCTATATCATAGAAGCAAGTAATGGATGGCTCGGCCCGCGCCATGCCTTGATCACTGTCGTTCTATAACCTCTCGCCCTCCCTTTTCTCATCATCATCAATGCTTCTTTCGCTTTCGAGCTAGTGTCTCTTCGCTCCCTGTTGATCGGAGGATCTCTGCTAGATTGCGTTCGAAGCTTCTCCGGGCTCGACCACAGCCTCGGGCCCAGACTTCCTTCTTCATAATCTCCATCTTTTTCTTTTCGCCGAAGCCAAACCAACAATTTTCACGAAAGCAGCTTTAAGTCGGAGATTTCAAGCCATATCGAAGGTGGTCAACTGCCGCCGCCATTCAAGCCAGCCGCATCGAACCCCGTTTGACCTGTCATCACATCACAGAACCACGGATACAATCAACCCTGAAGCCGGATCGACACTGCGGTAACTATAACCAGCGGCGAGACCGATCGTTCGGAAATTCCAACCACGTTCCATTTCACGACTTCATAGCAAAGCGAGCGATGAAAAGACTTGCTCAAGCGAGACGTTGCCCGTTCCGTCACCGTCGTCATATTTAGCGCAACCGAGGCCTGAATGTCATGCCCCATATCTCAATTCCGAAGTAACGCCTGAATGCCACGACGACCTATCACCAATACCGATTTAAAGAATTCAGCTTGACCGTGGGGATGTGCTCACATTCTGATCCCGCTGCGCTGCTCCCGTGACCCTTCAGATCTGCTGAAGCCCAGCCGTACCAAAAGCCGACGGCGCACCGCACCACAGCCATATTTTGCTTCGAAACCCATACACCGGTGCATCTCGTGTCTCTCACCCGAGACATCATATATCTTCCCCCCTGTGCTCTTTGAAACCCGACATCGTCTGTCTGGATCTGGCCTCACACAGAACAACTCGAACGTCCAGACCAAGTTCACGAGACCCTCGACGCTAGCTAGCACCAGACCATCGCCAGACGGTATAGCGTACCGAGAACGCCGACAACAGTCCAGAACCGAGGCGCAGAGCGCAAACTCACCTTTTCCCCTGGTCAGGGTGAACTGGTTGACCAAGAGATCTCCTTGGACAGGAAACACAAGAACCAAACAGCATCAGCGCCAGTGTGTGTTTTACCCCTGAGTCAGGGGTGTTGCGGACTGTTGACAGGGGGTCTCAGCAAGCGAGAAGCGACACCATCTCAAAGCAAAGCAACGAAAAGCCGCGACCGTTGGCAATCGCACTCCTTCTTTGGCAGCATCTCCCGAGCGCCTTTAACAATTCAACTTCTTCGTCGCGCCTGAAGTCTGCGACTACGTAGTTGAAAAAGGGAGGGTTGTTTTACGGGACCGACTGACTTCAAACTGGGGCGACTGGAAACACATTCCAGATACCGACACCGAGACAAGAACCGCGGGGCTGCTGCTGCTTCTAGAAACATTTGAGAAACACTGGCTTGCAACCTTTTGGGCCCGCTCAACTGTTGATCGACGGCAAAAAGGGCTGTATTTGAGACCGTTCGCCGTGCTCCCCCGGCATTCGTCTTAACGTTCAGAAACAAGAACGTTGCAAGCAAGTGGAAGTCTCGGCCAAGTACCAACTCTATTTTTGTCTTTTGCTGGATCTCCGTATCCAACTCCACGCATCGTTTCCGACACGCAAGCAAGCAAGCAAGCCAAGGACGATTGATTGTCAATCGATCGCAGCTGAGCTGAACAAAAAGAGCCACTGGATCAGACTTGCGGAATCCCGTCCCGTCTCCTTACTGGTATCCATCCCACGACGGGACGACATTTGTCAACGGTCAAGGGACTATCCAATCGGGAGGGTCAATTGAGTTACCCTTCTGGCTCCCGTCGAACGGGCCGTTGTCGCTTGTCATTGTTGAAGAAGAAGCGGGATTAAGAACTGAACCACTCAAACAAAGCCTTGAAAAAAAGGGGGTCAATCACGACAACAAACCAAAACAACCGGACAGATACCTATGCGTGCATCGGAAACCTTCTTCAGCGCAGAAGGTGGACGGGCAGTCCGGGTGTTGTAACAATAGCGGCCGCAGGATCGCAACATCCGGCAGGAATTGTGGGAAAAGGTAGCATCGCATCGCATCGGGTCGGTCAAGGAAGAAAAGAGTTCCTTGGTCAAATCAGCCGTGTCAACTCTTTCAGTGGTGTCTGTCCGCAGTGAGTGGGCACATTGCTGTTTGGAACCACGGAAACGAAGCGATTCAGACGCCCGCGCGAGTCCTGTCAATCAACCTGAACCCCCCGAATCGAATCCTGGCAAGGTTCGGGTGTACCTTACAGGCTCGGATAGGTGGTGGAGGATCTTTCCGCTGTTAGTGGTTTAGTGCGTTGTTAAGCTGTTCCAACGAACTGCACAGCGGGGTCGGCTAGCGGACACGGAACCACACCCTGAACCCCATCGACCAGGGGAAGCAGGGGCGGGCGGCCCAGCAGGCCAGCTAACAGCAAACTAACCCCTGCCCACACACCGGCAGTTCCATTTCCTCGTTAAGAAATCAGGAGACAGGCCAGACACGGGGAGGGGGGAGGAGAAACAATCGAAAGAAAGAGAAGGAAGGAGGGAGGAGACGGGCAAAAAACAAAAAAAAAGGTTTGATTTCTTCACTGTGACTGTGACGTCTGGAAACAGCCATCGCACCAGCCAGAGAGAGACTGGAAGAACCCTGCCCTCCACTCTTGCCTTGCCTTGTGTGCCTGCGTCCCGGCCTGGGTGCTCCTCCTGCCTTACGGTTTGTAAAGATGGAGTTCCTGTCGGGCTATGCAGCCGCAAGGGCTCCTTTATCCGCCTACCAGGTCGAGCCACCTCCACAATCGTCGACTTCATCTTCTAGTTCTACCTCGCAGCAGCAGCGCTCCTCCTCCGATCGACGAGGACCGCCGCCTCTCCATCCCACTCGCTCCAACTCGACCTCGGGCACTCACTCGCACCGAAAGCGTCGCCAGCACGGCCACGTCCGCACCAACAGCGCCAGCACCACCGGCAGCTCGGCCGCTCCTCTGGTCAGCAGCAGCGCCGCCGGCCCAGGTCAACTACCCTCTTCCTCTTCGACAACATCATCATCATCCTCCCACCACGGCCACGGCCACGGCCACGGCCACGGTCACGGTCACGGTCACGTTCACAGCCACAAACACAAGCTGTTGACGCCAGCTTGGTTACAACCACGACCACTCCCATCAGATCACTACAGCGACGGTGCTTCGGCCGCCACCGCTCAGAACTCTGCATCACCCGGACCCCGTGCCACCTCGTCTCTCGACCATTATCGCCCCTCGCGCCGAGACTTCCTCAATCCTCCTTCGTCCTCCTCCCATCACCAGCACCGTAGCCATCATCCCGAGCGGATACCTACGTCTGGCCGGTACCCGAACATACACGGCAACAACAATCACAAGCAGCTCCCCGCGACACCTCGTATCGACACGCACGATAGCCATAAATACCTGACGCCCACCAACACCGGTAGCGCTTCCGAGCCCTCATCAGCCCGGTCACCTGTCTTTCGTGACGGAACAGCCCCCCTCGCGCACACCACGAGCAACATCAGCATCGTAGGAGGAACCGGAGCCTCCATTGCCTTTGCCGCCCACGCGGCCTCCAGCATCCTCGAGCGTGGTCGTCACGTGCCGGCGTCGCCCCAGTCCCAGGGGCAACAACATGCTGGTAGCGCACAAGCCGGCGCCACCATGCCTCTCTCGTCCGGGACCAGCTCCAAGATCTCTGGTTACGATGGCTCCCGCGCCGAAAGTGTCTCCAGCATCGCTGGCACCACGATAAGCAGTCGCACGTTTCTCTCGAGCGATCCTTTGCCGAACCCCGACCAGCTCGCGAACAACCAGGCCAGACCTTTTGTCTTGCGCAATGGCCGAACATACATCTCCGACCCGACACTGGCGTACCCGCTACCCGTCGATCTCGAGGAAATACACAGACAGACGTTGAGGACGCTGTTGCTGCTCCAGCTCTTCGGAAAGCCAATATGCTCGCCCGAGTTCGCAGACCAGCCGCCCAAGCGCATCCTGGAAATCGGCTGTGGCTCTGCGGTCTGGTCGATGCTCTGCTATAAGCACTACAAGAACCTCGGTCAAGCTGATGGCATGTCCTTTACGGGTATTGACATTGCTCCCTTGGCGCCACCCAGTACCTCAGGAAACAGCGATGGCAGCGACGGGCGCCGCAGCAACCGCGCCTCTTCTTCGTCTGCCACCTTATCGGCAGCCGGCGGTGGCGGTGCGACTAGCGGCTCCGGCATGCACCCCGATCCTTCAATGAACTGGCGTTTTGTCCAACACGACTGCCGCAAGTTCCCGTTTCCCTTTGCCGACGCCTCGTTCGATTTGATCATGTGCAAGGACGTCTCTCTCATCACGACTACTGCCATGCAACAGCCTCTCATTGATGAGTACATCCGTCTCCTTGCGCCGGGCGGTGCCATCGAGATCTGGGAAAGCGATCACACGCTACGAATGCTGCGACCGCACGTCCCTGAGCATCTGCAGAACTCCTCCTCGGCGCCGGCCGCTGGCGAGGACGGGCAGCCTGCGGAAGGTACCGAGGACGACGGCGCAGCGGAAAAATCTCCCGAAGAACTCGAAGCCATTGAAGCTGCCCGCCTAGGCGCCTACGTAATGACAGCCAACACGCCCCTCTCCTCTCCCCTAAACCACTTCCTGGTGGAATACAACGCCTGGCTCTCCAAAGCCCTCGAAGCCCGCTCCTTGTCTAGAGCATGCCATGCACCCTCATCGGGCCCATAATGCTTCAAGAAGCCGAGGCCCTAACGGGGATGGGCAATAAGCGATTAGCGGTCCCGCTATCAGAAGTCCGTTGGGAGAGGGAAGGCGTGGGCGGTGTTGTTACGAAAGATGGGAAGGCGTTTATTTCGACAAAACCAAGTTTTTCGAATTTACACCTGGGGACGGAGAATGGAGGTGGGGGGAAGTCGTTGGGACCGGAGGCGCAGGCACTCAGGAGGACGGCGTTGATGACGGTTGTGCAGATGATTCAGAGCTTGGAACATATACTGAGGGATGTGAGTGGCAAGAGTCAGGATGAGTGGGATGCGTGGTTGGGCAAGATGATGAATGATCTTGTGAGGGAGAATGGGACGAGTTGGGGGGAGTGTTTGGAGGTTGGAGCTTGGTGGGCGAAGAGGAGGTAGCATGAGGGTGTTGAAGGAGAAATGGGGGGTGTGTGGAGGTAATTTCTTTTCGCGTGGTAGAATGGTAATTTTCTAATGGTGGCCTCTTTGACTGAGAATGGAAAGGAGGCCGGGATATAGGCTGAGCGTTTTTGGATATCGGCGGGTGGGATAGGTTGCATTTGGGTAGGTCTGGTGGAGGATGTTCTTGGATATGGATGGACGGTCTATATACGGGTACCTTCCAGGTATATAGGAAAGATCTCTCATGACCAAACGATGAGCGTTCTCTTCGACCAGTGATCCAGGCTTCGATGCTGTGCCCTTGCCCCGATTCGGCGGCATCATCTTCCTGCGTTCTTGCATATTGTTAACTTTTATCTGACGACACCTTTACTCGCATACCAGTAGGCAATCAACGTCCTACTGTTACTTCCTTCCTCTGTTGCAGAATATGACATTCGTTTGGAAGGTAGGTATATACAATAACCAAATCAACACGGTAAGGTAGTGGATAAACCGACCAACCCAACCAGCCTCCTTCTCTTTCACCACGTTCATGCAGTGCTCAACCATGTTCACATCTGATACTGCTGAAAAGCCTGTTCCCCTTCATACTGCTTCTTTAATGTCCTGTATTTCTTCAAGTAATATCTGCTGCACGTCAGCTCAAGCTCCAATCTCACTCATTCTTCCCCATCCCAGATCTCCCATCCCAGCCTCCCAAGCCAGTGGTGTCCGTGACAGGTAAAGAAAGGTCTGGTAGGTAGAGGTAGGTAAAGGTAGGTATCTTAAAGAAAGGCAGATAGATGTAGAAGTAACTCACAACGCCTGCAACTCCTTCTGGACAAACTGCGCCGTGGCAATGGCCTGCTTGATCTCCCCTTCGTCCCGCAGGCCGGCTTTGGACATGAATGCGCGGTGGAGACGGGGGCGGAAGTAATCGTAGCCTTGGGGATATTCTTTGCCCATGTGGAGGAGTTCTGGGTTTCGTGTTAGTGTGTGAAAAGCGAAGAATGAGGAAGAAAAGGGAATGAACGGAGTTGAGAAATGGAAGTACCTTTGTACAGCTGGATGACTTGTCGTCGGAGAGCAGGGTTCGGCGGGGGAAGGGCTCCGGCCATGGTGATGGCAATTGACAGACTGGGAGATGCCGTAACTATGGAGACTCGAGATAGCTCGAGAAAAACAATGATACACCTGATTCTAGAGGACTGATAACAAAGAAAGGGTAGGATGATTGCTAAATCGATAATTGTTTACATATAGTGATGATGGCGATGACCGCGGTGGTTGAAAGGGACCTGAGTGATGCAGTCCGTGCGCATCACCATCACCGAGTACCGTAGCGTGACGCCATAGGGGACGGACGGGAGCTGGGAATCTCTTTATCTTATCAGCTGGATGCCGGCATTGACCGACCGACCACGGTTCGCTTTGACGTTTTGGTCAACAACCCCGAAGAGCCTATATTGGCGATATTGTCGACCTCTGGAACACCGTTTTTAGGCTTTGTCAATATGTCATGCTGATCTTTATACCAGCTTAAAACGACTTTCACATCCCTACCTGCCTTGTTCGATATGGCTTTGAGTTGAAGCCGGGTACCCTGACCCGAACCGGCGGAGACATGCACTAACAAATCCCAGGACCACCACTGCCACCAGTCAGCCATTGCGATACCAACACGATGATTCTTTGCCATGGAAAATAACTGAAAAAATAGTCAAGCACGGCAAAGTCAGTCTACGGTTTTTTTCACAGAGTATCAAAAGGTTTCTAGCTCTCTGGACGCGATCGGCCCAACTCCCCGTCATCCCATCTGTTAGCGGAGCCCCACCCCGGCCTAACCCCGCTGCCGAGCATGACGGGCTCGATCTACCGATTGACGACCAAGACGGGCGGCACAAGGGGACGGGGCCGAGGTGTGATGTGATGCGATGGATCCCTCCCTGGACGTTAACACACTCCGCTCACTTACACCTTGATTACTGATCACTGAACGACTTGACTGCCGCATTTTCATCCTGAAGGAACCTTTCAAGCGCACACCCATCTCTCGTCCAGCTTGCAGCATCCCGTCATCATCTCCGTTATCGCAGTCATTGCAACCATGCCTCCCATCCTCCCGCGCTGGCACCTCGCCCTACACCGCACCACCACCAAACAAATTACCACATCCACCCTTCGCCCAGCCACCACGTTTCTCACCAACACGCGCCTCATCTCAACATCCCCCCTTCTAACCACCCACCAACAATCCTCCACCATCACCGCCCTCGACCAACAAATCCCCAAACCCCCGCCAAAGAAATGGATAACCGACCTCCCCGCTCGCGTCGGAGAATGCATCATTTTCGGCTGTTCTCCGCAACAAGTCCATGATGCTTCTTTGATCTTGAAAGCGCTGAGTGAGGAGTGGAGGGGGTTGTTGGCGGGTAGTGAAGGTTTCCTCACGGGTGGGAGGAGAGGGTTGGATGGACGGGAGGTTGCGTGGGGGGAGATGGATAGTTTTGTGAGTATCTTTTTTTTTTTTTTTTTTTTTTTTTTTTTTTTTTGGTTTGGTATTTGATGGAGAGGTTAGAAAGAAGCGGTGGAAGGGGAAGTGGGTGATGGGAATGGGCATGGATCGAGATATGGAAGATGGGAGAAAAGAAGGAAGTAAGCGACTGGAAAGGGTGGAGGGAAGAGAGATGCCAAAATCCATGAATGCAGGGAAATAAAGGCAAAACGAGGGAGGGGCTGAAGGGAGAGCTGGAAGATGAGTGAATGGGGGTAGAGGAAATGATAGAAATGGGTAAGCAAGTGGAGATGAGAGACGGAGGAACGGCCCGCCCATGGATCGGCCCGTCCCCAGCATCGGGATAGAATTCGACTACATCTGGTCAGGTGCGGATGTTGATAATATGGATGGAAAGCTACAGACCAGGCGACGGTGGTTGTGGCATTTACTCCGCGGGCACCAGGCTCAGGCTATACGCGCCTTAACATTAAATCCTTCCCGGGATTTTATAGAGGGACGAAAAGCGAGGTGGATGAAGTTTGACGACGAGGGCAACGAAGAGGGCAGATTAATTGACCGAAGATGGGACAAGTGCTAACAAGAGCAACACAGGGCCACGTAAACAACGTCAACTACTACCGCTACGCCGAGTCCGCGCGAGTCAACTGGATCACTAACTTCTCCGTGCACGTCGACCCAGCTCACAGGCAAGAATGGACGGAACTGATGCAGCCAAAGGCCATCGGGTTGATTATGAAGTCTCTCAAGTGTGACTTTAAATTTGTTCGTCCCCTTTTCCCCCAATTCCCCGTTCTATCTCTCCCTTCGCACACTTACCAGACAATAGCCAATGGTCTACCCAGACCGCATCTCCGTCTACCACCGCCTCGCCGCCCCTCCCCAGCCCGGGCAAACCAGCTTCCACCTCGAATGCACCGTCCTCTCGCACCAACACCGCCGCGCCGCCGCGCGGCTGGAGGAGGACATTGTCATCTACGATTACCGCAAGGCAGGCAAGACGGCCATGCCCGAGTTCATGCTGAACCTGTTCGAGAAGACGTGGAAGTTGCAGCAAGAGGAGACGATTAGAGCCCGCAAGAGGATATGGGAGTTGATTGGGGGAGTCGAAAAGTTGGAGAGGGAGACGTGGGATCGGGAGGATGCGAAGGAGGATCTGGGCAGTGCGGTTGGGGGGTTGAGTTCGTGAAGACCTACACTTCAACTACTCTACAATACAATACTGGTTTGCTTTGTTACGGCAGTTTGGCTCTTCAGCTATGTAAGGGTTTAGGTGGGAGGAGGAGGAGATCTGCAACTCTTGTTTGACTCTTTTAAGCTTTTCGTTTGAAGCAACTGACAATGACTAAATAGATTCCTCTTCTTATGCCTCTTTCCGTCCCTTTTGAGGCCGTCAAGAACTCGAAAGTATAAGAGCCCAGTCCACTCCGGCAGTCCGGCACTCATCCGCTCGATATTCATATGCTTTTCCATCCACTTCAGTGGCTCAAGAGCGAGAAATAAGCGCTTTTAGCACCGCAAAACTAACAGATATACCAGGGGTAGATTGTAGCGATGGGTAAATGGGGTGAGGAATGGGGCGAGGAGTGGGGATGTTGAAAGGGTAGATGGGTTCATGTTGCTAGCGGTTAGTTCTAGAGGAGAGAAGAGTTTGGATAGGTACAGAAGTAGGTACCGTAGTTGTGGTGTTGATCTGGATCAGGTAGTTGGTGAGTTAAAATGATACCCTACCTAACCCATGGATGTGCGAGAAAAGCTTGTACTGACAACAGACACTGGGAAGAATGCATTCGTTAGGTAGTAGTAGTATGAAGTAAAGCTAGTTGGAAGTCCGTGCCCGCTAACATGGCGTGGAAACCGGGCGGTTATCTACCTGTAGCTTTTTAGCGAGGCTAGCGAGGCTACATCGTTTATGCTACGGTATTCCATTCTAGACGCTCAGTCTAGACTTCCCCTTGTTAAACGAGACTTCTGGCTGGCTAGTTCCACAATTTACCAGATCATTCCTTCCTAATTCTTCGAAAGTCATGATTAATTTTTTTCGTCTTGGGTTCTTTTTTTCTTTCCGACCACGACTGCTCCTTTCCGAGGCATTTCTGAGATGGCTACACGACGCAAGGGTCCTCTTTCTTGGTCACTCAATCGGGCCAGTAGCTCAATGGTTCTTGCCTTGCTTTCTTTCTCGTAATGGCAGGTGGTGCCCAAAAGAAAAAGAAAAAAAAACCAAAAAAAACGAACACTACCAACTCGACCACTGTTTTTTTGGTGAGCCCGTATGTAGTCATTTGGGGCACCACCTGGATGGTCAGTTCGATCTCGTTGGATTCGGAGGTTGTCTTTTCCGCACTGAAAAGTTTCGCGCGACGGGAATGGCTTCCTTTTTCGGATCAGATTTCAAGTCGAAGTCCACTCGCCGTGCGGCCGCGTAGCCCAGCCGGCTTAGACGGCTCTGACAGAGACCGGTTGGTGTAGTGTAGTATCTCCCCTTGCGTATCCATGTACCAACACTCGCCTCAGGTGGAACTGGTTGTTACATTGTCTCTTCGAGATGCGGGTGGCTGGCACGCACTAATAATGCTTTTGTCCACAATGACCGTGCAGCTGGAAATTGTATGATGGATGCTGCGGACTCTGTATGTGGAATAAACATATAAAGCTAATGGTCAGGTCTCGTTTTCGAGGACAATTCATCTGTCTGTTCCATCTTCACGTCAACTCCTTCGCCCACATACAGAATAACCCGCTCAAGCCATAATGCTCTACTCGACCTTTATCTCCGGTGCCGTTCTGGCCATGCTGCAGGTAAGAGCCAGAGTCCAGGTCACTTCCTCCGACATTTCACACAAGAGGTCCTAACCAACCTACTTGTAGGTCCTACCTGTCAGCGCAATGCCAGCAACTGCTCCGAGCAGTGAAGGCCCCCTCGCTGGTTACGGCATCGAAGACATCACTTGGGAGCTCGAGACCGAGTCCGGTGCTACTGTCAACCTCACGGGCACTATTGAACAGGTCCTGCAATACGCCGAGTTGAACCAAATCCCTCTTAAGCAGAATCCCGATTACAATGTTTCCGATGCTTCTTCCTCCTCCTCTACCAGCATCCATGCTAGGGCGGGGGAGACTCTGGATTGCAATGTAGCGCAGTTGAACCTAGCTCGCGTGGACAAGATTAACGACGGCGTTACGTATCTTCGACAAGTCGCGGGCAAGCCGGCCAACGGTCCTGGCCCGAACAACTGCGGCCGGGTCAGCTGCTCGTGGAACTCGGCGATTTATTGGTGCAACGACGTACGTATACATACCTACCCATGGTACCCTCAATTGGATATTGTGTCAAATGCCCCTGCCTTGCCTTAACTCATCCTGTGACCTGTTTTTTTACTGACGACCTGGACTTTGCAACTTCTTAGAACACCGTGGCAAAGACACTTGGCACCTACAACCACATCGCTGATGGCGCTCAGTTCATCCTTAACAACTGCCCCTACCATGAGATGGGTATTTTTTACATGGGCGTTAAGGGTTGGGTTTCTATGCCGGATAAGTGGAGGGTCGTTATTACGACCAATGCTTGCTGAGTGGTAATACGGCTTCAGATTCGCGCGTACATCGTGGTTAAGGTATTGTTGTGGATGGAGAATGTGAGGGTATAGAAGGTACACTACACACGAGGACTGGACGCGAAGGAGTGGAGGATTTGAGGGGGTGCGGCTGGGAGTTTTGAGACTTGGAGTAATAGGACAGTGCTAGCAGGGAGTATTATCCTGAGCTGGTATTAAAAATATTCAGCATAGAGCAGACTTGGTGATGGACAGACAATTCAAAGCAGAGAATGATGATGATGGTGTTCGGATTAGATGTGAACCCGAATCCGAATCCAACTCTGGCCCGCTTCCTAAATGACAATGAAGAAACCATATTCATTCCGGTCTGCATGTCTCATACCAGGCGCAATCCACTCGACAGGCCAAAGCACGATGTTGACTTCGCAACTACCAATACTCACGCTATAGCTCAGTGAAGGAAGGTTGTGGTTGGAAGCCAAGCCACCATTCGGTCTTTCGTGCCAGTGGTACTCTCCGTCTTATATCATCCGAACCTTAGCCCCAGTGCCGGCACCGGTCCGGCAGGTCCCGTCCCGTACCACCGGCGTTAATCCAGCCGCATGCGTCCATGTCCTCCAACCTTAACTCGACTACCGCTCATTACCCATCAACCTCATTTGGACTAGAGGTACCATACCTTAGCTACCATGACCAGGGGCACTCTTCCTTCTTTCTTTCCTTTTTTCTTTCCTTCCTTCCTTCCTTCCTTCCTTCCTTGAACTCGACGACTTCCACTTACATACCTCTAAACACACTATCCTGAGAACACCTAAGGACGGGATGCAAGAACCATAAACTTTTCGAACTCGATCGCTACATATACTCGCTCTCGAACACCAAAAGAATTGACTTGTCCGACACTTCGGGGTAAGTCGATTTAGGTCACATGTGCATGCAGCCAACAATGCACCTAACACCCGAAGCCCAATGCTAGTAGGTAACTCACATTCCATGTCTGGTAAGCTCTATTTCCATATCCATGTCCATATCGGGATCCTGTTCGAACTTCAATTTCCAATCGTGTTCCTGGATTCGGCTTCTTCCCACTCTCGAGCCACTCCCGCTTAAATTTTCCATTAGTCTACCTCTAGACTTGTTCATGGACTATACTACTGTCATAACTCATAAATGCCGGCAGGCGCACGCGGCGACCGTTCCGGTGCGGCGATCACTCTCTGCGGATCTGGACCGAGACCTTTTTAACTCCGTTGATCTACAAGGCAGTGCAGCTGGTAGATCTGGAATTGGGTTTCCGCACACCGCAATGTTGATCTCCTGGGCTCATGCAGTTGGGCGATCGCGGGAGGCTGGGGCCGAGATGCTCTTGATTGACACATGAGGAGGTGCGGACTCGATGTTGTGGGGTGTTAATCAAGGTAAGGACTGGAGGTTCGGCTAGGAGCTGTCAACATAAAAACCTCGCTTTCGATGTTAGTGGATGGGTTAATGGTGTAGCGATGGCTTGGAGAGAAAAACGAAGACATTAGGGCTCGTGGCATGGTCGCAGGAGCTGTTCCGGCCATTTAGCCAGCTAGATCCTGTGAAAGCACATAGGACGAAAAGAAAGCAAACCAACATGAACATCAGATGTAGTGATAACGCCATAACCATTCATTCATTAACCATACAGTAAGTACACCGCATTAATGAGGATAATTCGTAATGCTCCCAATCCGCACAATCAAGAAAAACGCTAGGGCCAGAAACGGCGATCTGACCAAAATGGTCTTCGTCGTGCGAGCAGTCGCCAAAAGCAATCCGGCACCGAACGACACGTCCTTCTCCGAGCCCTGCGTGCCTTCCTCCTCACGCTCATGTGCTGACACTGCCGGCCTCATCCACGTCGGCATCCACTCCATGACTGCTTTCCCGGCCTTCACCTCCTAGGTGTCGTCACCATCAGAACGCCTCCCCTTTTTATTCCTCCATGCAGGTGTCAAAGTCTCCTAAAGCCCACAAGCCTTCAAAGCCACCTGCTTAACCTGCGCATCCACGCGACCAAACTGCTCGGCGTTGCCGCCCGTCAACTCGTTCATGGCTTTCTTGCTCATGTTGATGCCGGCGCCGGCGTGGTCGATGGCCAGGATGTTGATCGTCTTGCCCTTGTAGGTCACGGACCAGCAGGTACCGCAGTTGGGCGAGTTCCAGCCGCCGACCTGCTCGACGCCGCCGACATAGGGGAAGTTCTTGATCTGCGATTGGAAGTTCCAGCCGTACTTGGTGATGAGGCCGTTGGCGCCGTCGGAGCACGAGACGACGGTGAGAGAGCGGTTGGGGTCATCGTAGCCAGTGTCGTAGGAGACTGTTGTGTGGACAGGTTAGCAAATGGTCAGAAGAGACGAAAGGTGAAGGGAGACATACCAGTGGTAGCAGAGGCGGCGGTGGCCAGGGTGAAGAGACTGAGGACCTTGGAGAGCTGCATTTTGATGGATGTGGAATGTGATGTGCTGGTGGGTTGATTATAGTATTCTCCAAGAAAATGACTTGGTAGTATTAAGGTGAAGTAGTAACGAAAGTTGAAGATGGAGGCTGATGCAAGATGCTGGATGCTGGATGCTGATGTGGAATGTCAAAAGTAATATCCCAAAGGGAAGGGAGCAGGACCCTTATATGCATCCCGACGATCCCTCCTCCCTTCTAGCTCCTGCCCTTGAAGGTTCGCAAACACAGCATCACCACCCAACAAGAGACATGGGAAAAGAACGGAATACGGCATCGTGCTGTCCGTAACTGGTGATGGTTACGGAGATCCACCAGCCTAGTCGGTCACCACCCACGACACGAGGGGCTTCATGGAAGCTACGTACCAAATGGGGACTTGCAACATGTTGTCGCCGCAAATAGAACTCCCCAATCCCCACACCATGCAACCAGCAGTTTAAGTTGCCTTGTTGGACGTCATGGGTAAGGAAAGCACCGGAAAAACAGAGGTCACTCGAAAGGAAGGGGGCACTTACACAGCCCGGGTGGGAAGTGGCAGCTTACCAGAGCCGAACAGGGTAGCATGCCGCCGCAGCCATCGACGTTAACGATGCCAAGCCCGTGTTTTTACCTCATGCAGCAACGCATCTTGCCTTGACTGGCCCGGGTTTTTCGACCTAGCCAAGAACACCCTAACGTCCCCAAGAAGTCTCGTGAGCGACTAGACTACTATCGAGTACGAAGGTTTGCAACGTCGAAACTCCGTATTGTCCATTTGCTATGCCACGTCTGTACAGATTGCTAGCTCATGGCTGGCCGGCTTGGGTTTGTTTGTTGGCTTGGTTTTGAGTTTAGGAAGTGGCTGGATTCAGCGCTTCACCGAGCCTCATGATGCTGTGAAACCATCAACTCGCAACGGCTTCGCAGGAGAAACACCCGGGCGAGACAAGCAAACGCCAAAACGGTAGAGGTATAAGCATGTTTGGCAGCTCTTCTGACCTCACCTCGAAACCTTTGGCGGTCGCACACCGATGTCAACGAGACTGCACTCCGAAGAAAACAATTCTACGCCCTCAACAACAGTCGATTCATGATCCCATCTCTGGGGTTTCAATCTTCGTATCGTCGTGCAAACAACCTCACACCATCCTCGCAGCAGTTGCAGCGGGTAAAAGTGGAGGGATTTTGACGATCGGCACTCAGCATTTCTCGTATTCAACCAGTTCCCACGACCGGTCCAACTCCGCCAATGAGAAACGTCGTCCATGACATATGGGGTCGGTACAGCCAGACAAATCAATGGCTATCGCATATTGACTTCCACTGAATCGAGCTAAAAGGCGATGGAAAATGAATGAAAGAATTGCGGGGGATCAACCGTGAGCTGGGTCGGAGGTAACATGACATGGACATGTTCGCATAATGCGCACTTGCACACCAAGCAAACTTGGGAGTGCTATCACGTACCTCTATTAACGAATATTCTCCGAGGAGAATTTCGAAGGTTGTCAAGAAAAAGAGGCTGGGGAGGCGTCAACTCGGATGAGGAGTAATAAGCACAACATATTGCTTTCTCTTCCTCTGGGCTTCCACAAGCCAGCTACCATGCCATCAACCGCTCTGCATCTTTCCGTGCACGACACCGTTTTGTTCTCTTGCCTTTCTGTTGCATTTCTTCGGCATTCCTGTTGGCGAACTTTCCAACCCCAGAACATGCTCGAAACTTGGCTGTTCCAATCCAAATTGTCGCCCAGTTTCGGCATATTGTTCGTTATCAATCCCTCGGCCGAGCTTTCCCGGCACTTGTCTTGCCAACGCCTTGTTGGCATTGTCCTTTCGGGCTCGGCAAGCTCGGCAAGCTAAGAGCGACAAGGTCTAGTGGCGCCGATCATCCCGTGGACCCCTCTTGACCCGTGCCGTCTCCGCCCCCGCTCCGGACCGACCGAGCGATTCAGACTTCAGACTTCAACTCGGATCCCGCCCACTTCCCAGGAATACGGCTCAGCCGTATTTGTAGCTGCGTTTGCGGAACGCGGCTGCGCCTTTCCGAATCCGAGAGGCAGACAGGAGAGGGAAGGCACCGATACGTGAAGGCAGGTGACCGAAAGTCCCAAAGTGCCAATGGGAGCGATCGGTTCACCTCTTCCTTCTGTCTTGATGGGAAACGCAAATCGGCTTCGCAGTTATGATTTTGACGATGATTTGTTTCCTTTCACATCTCAACCGATAATCTTTCGCGAAGAGACCGGCTCACTGATTTCGGCTGAGTAACGTTGCGCATCGTTTTTTTTTTCCGGGGGTACGAGCTGGGCTGACGATGATGTAAGACGACCACACCGGAACACGACGGACACCAACGGAGTTTCCACAACTGTCAACCGGCCGGCGCCGTGTATCGTATCTGTTTGTGCAGAGTTGCCTCACGTTAGCACGACATTCTTCCGTTTTCTTTTCTCCCAACACATGGAAAGTGTTCCTTGTTCACTCTCTTTGCTTTATTACGTTACCTCGAATCCCAGGTCCTACCTTCCTCCGTGCTAGGTGCTGAGGCGATCCCGCAAGGCTGGGTCCCGTCAACCGCAGAATCGGTCCTCATCTGTTGAACGTTCTCGAAGAACCTGAAATGGGAAGCATCTGGCGAGACACCGGACTGCCGAAGCTTACGAGGCTTGCACTTGCAACTCCCCCAGCGGAAGTAGCACAGGTTCGTACGTGCCGCAGAGGGCGCGGAATCGGCATCCACCCATTCAATGCCTCCCGTTATCCGATACCGCTGAAGGCAGCGGCAACGAAGACACAGGCAAGGAAGCATAGGAGGATCATACCTGATATTGGCCAGCCAGCCGGTGCTCGCCATGTCCTGCGTAGAGGTACCCCTCTAAGCACGCTTTCCATGTGTTGAGCTGCGTGCCGGAACGATGGGATCAAAATGTCAAACATGGAAATCTGAAAGAACGAAAGAGGAACATTGTTTTGAGAATTGATTGGCATCCGCAGTCGCGGTCTGAGCATGTTCTTGGAACGGGCGCTCCCCCTGGGTGTAGGTACATTTAAAATTCTCGCAACATGACGCCGACTCGAAGGACCTGGTGATGTTGACGGAGGACTTGAGGGCACGACTCAGGACGCTTTCGTCAGGTTCCAGTTGACTCCGGGGTCGCTCTGCACCGCTGTCATTGCAGTTTTTCATGCAAAATGCCGGGCATTTATGCAAGGTGGACGTCCAGACTATCCCATTTCACACTCGCGGGAGGAACGAGAGCACAAGCTCACGCCTCGGTCTCGGTCAAGCATTCATGGCCATCCGGTGCCGCTTGTCTGTTCTAACCCTGGTATCATCTCGGGTCATCAAGATGTGGCAGGAGGTCCCGAAGAAATGTCCCCAGAGCGCGGTTCCAGCAAGGAACGGAGGGGATTGAAGTTGAAATTTTCATCAAAGTGCCCGCACACGCTCGCTGTCCGCTCGCGTCAATTTGATGCGGCGCGTGCAGAATCCGTGGGCATCAAATCTCCCGTTCCGCTGCTGCGCATCATGATTCTCGTCGCGCTCAGGCCTAGTTCTAAAGGGTGCGAACTGATGTTTCTAGTTCAAGACAGGTAACAAGCAGAACAAGCACCAAGGTGAATCGGTTATCCTCCCATGAGGTAGCTAAGAAGTATACAGATGAAGAAGAGACCAGGACGGTGGCGTCGGAGTGCTGAAACCGAAGTCACTGATCCCGTCCTGTCATGCCTATGTATAACAGACCCGCTAAAAGTGAAAGATTCAGTGGAGAGTTGTTGCTTTTGACAGCACTAATCCCTCAATTTTGGCGATCCACTGTCAGCCCTACCCGGGTGGGCTTTAGTGCTCGCTAACAGCCACAGCCCTCCAGCTTACACGACAACCTGGACTCAGGGCACCTCACTTACACGGCAAAGGCTCGCGAGTCCGCGACTTTCATCATGATGAGATCCCTACGACAATTTTCTCCTCAAGGTCATACTCCCGTCTTGCCTCTATCATTTCACACAGTTGTGTCATGTGATTCAGAGTCCACATCAGACTTCGCAGTTTGGTGCGTACTGGTACTCTGCGACAGTCTCGATTCAGGCCATCAGGCGGTTGATATCGATGCGAGTTCCTTCGATTCGCACTTCGTATGTCTATCTCCTTTCTGTCTTCTGCCCCTGAACGCGGCGGTGAAGTGACCCGATGATTGAAGAAGATTACCTCTACGTGAAAGTGAGGGATGAGGACGGGAAAGTGGCAAAGAAACGGTCCATCATTTGCAAGAGAAAAATGAGTATTCTCGCTAGGAAGACATCAGACAGCACCGGGCCAGGAAGCTGACTGGCGCCAAAGGAGAACAATAGGGAAAAGAACTAGCAGGTAGAATGGCGACGGCGAGATGTCCTGAGGATTGCTCTGATCAAGACCTTCCACGCACAGGTGTGGTCAACCGACTACGGCAATATTGCATTTTCAATAGCACCCAGTTTCACTTTACCGCAACCATTTCGGCCATTATCATGCATTACACTCCGAACGATCTGCACGGCTTCAGGAAACGTGTCTCCTGGCACAGCAGCCAGACAGTCACCGGTCACCGGTCACTCGTCGTTAATCATCCCGTACTGGCACACCTTCCTTCCCCTTTCTCTGCGGCTGCGTCTCCACCTCATCGGGACTATCGCGGAGGCGGAGACTACTCCCCCCCCCTTTCACCTCCAGTCGGACCGCGAGAGCCCCGATCCTCACCCCATCACAGAGATTGAACCCCAGATCTATGTCCAGGTCCAGACCCACGGCCGAGCATCAACGGTCAAGCACCCACGAGAACCCTTTTTTTCTCTTAGTCGCCACTTGGTATACTGTGTGTGTGGATGTCAGGAAGACCAGACGTCTGTTAGCTCTCCTCCGCCTCCTGATTCTCATCCTCCTTTTCCTCATTTTGAAGCGGAGCCAATGAACATAGCTAACGAGGAGCAACACTCGGCCCAAGCGAGGCCAGGTCTTGG